CCATCCCAAACCCTGCCCCCCTCCATGGTTCCTCTCCCTTTGCCGGCCACCTCCCTCCCAGCCAGCTGCCTCCCTCCCTGCTGTGGTTTTCGGGGTCCCTCGCTCTTTTGGGGGACCCGGGACCACTGCAAATTGCTTAAGGATGGAGAGCAGGGAGCAACGTCCGTTCTCCACTCTGCTCTGTGTTATCACTGAGACGGGAGCACTGTACATACAACCTTCTCATCTCAGTTGTCACAGGAGTTCCAGCATAATGCTGTGCTAGAACTCCTGTATTGGAGATGACAGGTTCAATAAAGAGAACATATCACCTCCAAATGCTATCACACAGGGGCTTGTTAGCTCCTGTGTCATAGCAATAAAGTTAAGTGGAAAAAAAAATAATACAAAATAATTTAATAAGTCAATAATAAAATTAACGCAGCATAAATGCCATGCTGAGGCAACCATCGAAGTGCAGCTACTCCAAGCGAGAGAACAGCTCCGCACCCTATGTAACGCTAGGGCTAAATCTGCGTTACTCAAATGTCGCCGTACCTTTTATGAGTACGGCAATCAGTGTGGCAAATACCTAGCGAGGGCTGTCCGTAAACAACATACACAAACATTCATTCCCTCGATAACTTTAAATTCCGGTGTCAAATCCTCACTTAATTCTGACATCACAGACGCTTTTGTTGATTATTATAAAACTCTCTATAATATATCACAAACTCCACTGATCCAGAACCCCTCAGCTCATCTATCCTAGATACAACGCTATATTCAGGAGTCGGGTATCCCATCTCTCGCACCACTTGCTAGCTCGATGATGGAATTACCTATCTCCGTCACAGAGCTGGAGACCGCCCTCAAACTCACTAAACCTGGCAAAGCCCCAGGCCCAGACGGCTACCCCATGACCTATTACAAACAATATCTTCCTATTCTTGCAATGCCATTCCTGAACGCCCTCAACTCACTACACACGGGTTATACACCACCATCTGACTCTCTTAGGGCCCATATAGTTGTTATACCCAAGGAGGGGAAGGACCCGTCCCAATGCCCTAGTTATAGACCAATATCACTGCTTAATGTGGACACTAAACTATTTGCCAAAATCCTGTATCTACGCCTGGTCCCTCATATAGGGAAACTTATTCACCCAGACCAAACTGGTTTTGTTCCATCTAAGGAGGCGAGGGGCAACACCACTCAAGCCCTGGGGGTTATCCACTCCGCCCGGTCGAACACCACCCCATGCATAATTCTTTCCACTGACGCGGAGAAGGCGTTCGACAGGGTGGACTGGAGGTTCCTCCAGGGTACGTTGGAAGCGATAGGTGTGGGACAGCATATGGGGACCTGGATCGAGGCGCTATACTCAGGCCCCTCGGCCCAGGTAAGAGTAAATGGTACTTTGTCATCTTCATTCCCAATCTCGAATGGCACCCGGCAGGGGTGCCCCCACTCGCCTCTCCTATTCGTGCTGTCCCTAGAACCCTTTTTACGAACGGTCGTCGCCACACCAGACATTCATGGCGTTACAATTGGCCATATGGAACACAAGGTAGCCTCATTTGCGGACGACCTTCCTTTCTTTCTTACGTCACCAGACGTTTCTATCCCTGTACTCCTTGAGGAATTCAGGAGATATGGTACCCTCACGAACTTTCGAATTAACTCCACTAAATCTGAGGCCCTCCACATATCTCTCACTGGTCCCCACCTACATAGAGTATTACAACATTTTCCTTTCAACTGGGCACCAAATGCCATTAAGTATTTGGGTATACTTCTCCCCAGAGATCTCTCCCACACGTTCACTTTGAACTTCCCTCCATTGCTCACACATATAAAATCAGACTTAGCCACTTGGACCACAAACTCCTTCTCATGGATGGGGCGATGCAATATTTTGAAACAATCTATTCTTCCACGCTTATTGTATCCCCTCCAAGCATTGCCTATTCATATACCCGTATCTTTCTTCCGCAGCATACGAGCGGCCTTTACGGAGTTCATGTGGCTCCGTAAATCGCCTAGGTTGAGCTATGATATCCTGCGGAGACCAAAGCATCTAGGGGGGATGTCCCTCCCGGATATGTCAATACTACATAGCCACGCATCTAGCCCGCATAATTGACTGGAACCACAACTCTCCCTCCAAACTCTGGATTAACATAGAACAATCTCTAATCGATGTCCCGTTGGCCAACCTCCCTTGGGCCATTAGCCCCTGAAATACGTTCACATCCCACCATCGGACCTACATTAAAACTAGCAAGTAGGATCTTTGCCAAGGGCTCCATTTCCTCTATTCCCTCTCCTCTTTTTCCCATTCTTGACAATCCCTCTTTTCTCCCGGGTATAGGGCCACGCGCATACCCAATCCTGAGAGACTTGGGTATCGATAAAGCTATGCACCTCTTGAACTCAAACTGGCCCTCAACCCACGCTCTCTGTACCGAACCAGAATATGGCCCCTTAGATTTCTGGTCCGCTATACGTTTATCTCATTTCCTATCTCATACTATCCCCCCGATGCATAAACACAATAGACCACTCACTCCTTTTGAACAACTTTGTACTCAATCTGACGCCCCACGTCACGTTCTTTCTCTCTGCTATACGCAATTGATCCAACCGACGGACCCACCCTCGCTATGGTTTCCCCTGAGATGGGAGGAGGAACTCCAGATCAGTATACCATCAGAAGCCGCAGCTAAATTGTTGTCCCTTTCTTACCGTTCATCAATTAGCAATAGATACCAAGAGTCGGGCTACAAAATTGTGACGAGATGGTATCGTACACCGCAAACCCTCCATTCACTGTTTCCGGATTCACCGGACCAGTGCTGGAGGTGCCAACAGTCCTCGGCAGGCATGATTGATATATTCTGGTCCTGTCCGGACCTCCTGCAGTTCTGGGATTAGGTGCATGCCCTCACTCAAAGATTTTCCGACTTCCCGGTTCCCCGAGACCCAGCCTTTTTCCTTCTACACCATAATAGTATCCCCGTGCGTGCTTATTCTCACTCTCTTACCAGACACATAGTAAATGCAGCGAGAGCTTGTATACCGGCTATCTGGAAAAAACCTGAACCACCGTCCATCCGACAGGTTCTAGACCGCATTCAGGATATCTACTTTATGGAGGACCTCACGAACTCAATCTCTTCAAAATACACTTCATTCTCAAGTACTTGGCTCCCTTGGATGGAGTTTGTGAAGTCTCCCGAATATCTCACCTTTGGAGTGTAACCCAAAACATGACAGAAATTGGGGGCTTTTCCATATCTAGGTCTGATTTAATTTCATTCCCCTCCCCTCAAGTATTCTTTCCTTCCCCCCTTATCCTCTTCACATAGACCTTATGTCTCTTTGCCAATGGTCAACAAATTTCATGATTCCCTTCTCATCCCCTTTATTTTTCCAACATCCCGTGATAAGTTGGCTCCCCGAACATACGTGTCTCTTGAACTATATTCCCTCCCTATATCATCTGTGATAATAAACATGAGGTGCCATTGACGATTTAAATGACAGCATGGGTAGCTCACGATCTGGGCTTATCGCCCTAATCTTATCATATGAGTTAGAATGTTGCACCTTTTTATTTGTATTCCCTCCACCCCATCTTTTTCAGTTTCTTCTTTTTTTTTCCCCCTTATTATTCCTTCCTCCATTTTTTTTGTGCATGCATACAATGCGTTTTGAAAAACACAATCGATTTTCTTGTTATTTACATGCAAAAAAATTAATCTGTATACCTCCCTGCACTGTTTCTCCCACCTACTCTGTAAACCTTTGAAAATCTGAAAAAATAAAGAATTTAAAAATAAATAAATAATAAAATTAAAATTATTAAAAAGTAAAAAATAATAAGATAAATAAAAGTTTTAAGTAAAAAAAAATTACAATAATAATTAGGAATGCACCGATACTAGTATCGGTAATGGTGCCGAAACCGACTATTTGGGCAAGTATTCGTACTTGCTCAAAAGCTCCGATACTTACCTCCGGCACTTGGCAGTGCCAAGGGAGCATGGAGCCGACTTCCTTTCCAATCAGGAAGCCGGGCGGCAGGTTATGACCTGCCTCCTGGCTCCCTGATTGGCTAGGAAGCCAGCTTTACTTGTTGCTAGTCAGCCTGCCTTACTGACCAATCAGGAAGCTGGGCGGCACCTCATGACCCATCACTCGGCTTGATGATTGGTCAGGAAGCCAGGCAGCCTCGGGCAGTGAAGCCTGTGTTCTTTCAATATAACACCGGCTTCCGAGGCAATCAGAAAGCCAGGAGGTGGGTCATGACGTACTTCCTGACTTCCTGATTGGCTAGGAAGCCAGCTTCACTTGTTGCTAGGCAGTCTGGCTTCCTGACAAATCAAGAAGCTGGGCGGCATCTCATTAACCTCGGGAAGTGAAGCCGGTGTTCTTTCGATAGAACACTGGCTTCCCAGACAATCAGGAAGCCGGGCGGTGGGTCATGATCCACCGCCCATCTTCTTGATAATTGGGCACACAGAACCGGTATCAGTATTCAGTATCGGCGAGTACCAAAAAAATAAATACTCTTACTCAATACCAAAAAGCCAGTATCGGTGCATCCCTAATAATAATTATAATAATAAAGAATAATAATTTTACAGTTGGGGTCACCACAACTTGGCGAATGCTACCAAGGGGTCCCGGCTCTAGAAAGGTTGAAAACCACTGGTCTTCAGCAAATAATCGGAGTGAAACCTCATTCTCCAAGTTTCTGTGTAGAACCTGGAACAATTGGTATTTAAAGCAGACCTTGCACTAAAAGAAACAAAGTCCCCCCCACGGAACAATTGGTATCTAAAGCAGACCTTGCACTAAAAAAAAAAAAAAACAAAGTCACACACACACACATTTAAAAACACTGCAATAAACTGAAATTTGTTTAGGATATAAATCAGGGTTCAGCATAAGAAGAACACAAGAGGATATGTGAACAACTAGATGAGCTTTTTTGGTAAGGCGCTTCTTACCAGGTCCTTTGCATTCAAAGAGATTTCATCCCACCAGGGAGAAATCAATTCATAGTCGCAGGTGAGGATCCTGCTGTACATGTACTGATCACCCCGTGGGTCAAAAAATGGTTCAAAGCCACATAACCTAGAGAGGAAAGACAAAATATATAGTGTCAGTATGAAACACAAGGATGGTTAAGCTGACTCTGCTTGAAGCTGGCTACACATGGCTAAACTGGCTACATTTTATACAAGGCAAGGTCTAGCCCAAAGTAATGAACTTTTGGAAGAAGAAAAAAGGCATCTGATTGGTTGCCACCATTGTTAGCGTGATTAAGATCCATTCATTAATCATGTCGAGGGATGAGCTTTGGATTCGGGTCAAACATGAGTTAGAGCTTAACCCAAGTCGCAGTTAAGTAAAATGGCAAACAAATTAAGTAATTTGCCGCTATAGCAAACATTTACCAGTAATGTAATTTCTGGCCTCTTAGCTATGTTCAGATGGCTCAGAATGGCCAATAATGGGGATTTTCTGGTGTTCCGACCCCAATCTCTGTAACAGGCAGGGTTCCCGGCAGTCTTTTGTCAGTGTGTGTTGGAGAGACCTGAAGTAGATAGGCAATCTCCTGTATTCCAATTTCTAGGCCGGTCTAAGGCAGAGGCAGATGTTCTGCACCTGTAGGTAATAAGAGGTGGGCAGTTTCTGCAAATGAAAAAATGCACCTCTACCATATGATTAACTCTTTAAAGTAAGGGCCTCAGACTATTGGGGTGATTTCACGAACCCAATCAAACTGTGATCAGACCGCAATCTCGACTAGAGGAAGCCAAGAACATGTGTCAGAGCAGGGAAGGTGGCTGCGGTTGTGTTCGTCACCCGATGCTGAGTTCGCGAACAGAAGCAAAATTTTGCTGAATTTCCTGTTCGCGAACTGAATTGTTCGTGAACAGAACGCGTTCGTGACCTGAGGTATCACTGTATTTCTAGCTTTTTTTACTGTGAAATAAGTAGTTGTGATTTCTAGATTAAAACTTGCCTGGTGTCTCTCTCTGTATCTGCAGCCTACAAAAGCTGCATCAAGTCTGTTCAATGTTGTGGCTGTTTTCTTTTGTCCACCTTTAGGCCTCATTCACACACAACGCAAGCAAAATTGTATATTGCGTCTATGCGCGTATATACGAGCGTCTATGCGTATATGCAATCCCAGAATGCATCACTCGTAATGGAATTTTTAATGTGCTGTATGCATGTACGCGCTTATATGCGCGTAATTACACAGAAATGCACTGCCGCGACGCATCTCTGTTCAATTCTGTTTTTGCGCATATATACGCTACGAAAAATACGGCTCCATGCGCGGCTATGTGTATGGAGCCATTTATTTATTTGCATATGTTGCATATGTTGCATATGGTGCAATACGCATGTACGCGCGGCAGTGTGAATGAGGCCTTACCGTTATGCTATCAATACTCTCCCTCTACATTGTCATAAATAAAACAGTGGACAAAAAAAAAAAGAAAAACCTATATGCCTGGGGTCATCTTACCTAATATACCAGTTATTTAAAATGTTATAAGCAGCCTAAAACATTGACATAAGGTGAAGGGGCAAGTGCATTTGGATAGCGGATGGATGGGAGTCCTCACCCACTCTCCCATGACCAGACATGGAGTGGACACTAATGCAAAAGAAGCAGCTTAACAAAAGCACACTCTTACAGGGTCATTCAGAAAAGGGTGAAGAGTTTGGAGAAGGCAGGAGAAGTGAACAATCTAGGACAGGGGTAGCCAAACTCCGGCCCTCTAGCTGTGGTGGAACTACAAATCCCATGAGGCATTGCAAGATTATCACAGCCACAGGCATGACTCCCAGACAGAGATGCATCATAGTATTTGTAGTTTCACCACAGATGGAGGGCCGGAGTTTGGCTACCCCTGATCTAGGACAACATAGCTGATTTGGAAAAATTCTCCAATTCAGCTCACTTTCCAGTTCAGCTATATTGTCCTAGATTGTTCACTTCTCCTGCCTTCTCCAGACTTTTCACCCTTTTGTGAATAGCCCTGTAAGTTTCAGGGAAGACCTCATGCTAGCAGATAACATTAACCATAATCATTTGTCTAGTACATAACACACAAATTCTTACAAGATGTATGCAATGACTCCAACAGACCACATGTCAACTTCTGGGCCATATGGGGAACCCTGAAGAATTTCTGGAGCTGAAAGCAAAATTAAATGGGATGCATTGTTATATTTTTCTTGAATGTGTAACACAATTTTTAAAAATGAGCAAAAAGGTTTAGCAAATATATAGCAGATCTATACAAAAGTAAATACTAAATAAATAGTGGGATGCCTAGGGGTACTAACAATGGATAACCGAAATAAACAAAAAAGTACAGTAGATACACATATAAACACAGCACATAGTATTTCTCAATATTATAAATGTGCACATGCTTAGCAACATACTGAACAACATACTGAGCAATTTTATACATAGGAAAACATTTGTTTTTGTGTTTGAAGAATATCTCTATGAAACACACTTTCTAACCAGTGATAGATGGAAATGAGTGAATAATAAAAAATTCTAACATCTCAATCACACATTGTTTTAAATTGTAATCTAATAGTTTGATTGAATAGTTTAAGTGTGTGTGTGTGTGTGTGTGTGTAAAAAATGCCTTTTTTTTTTGCAGGATCTAAAATATTGCTACACTAGTTCCAGACCAGAGTCCACTAAAACCACCTTAAAGAGCCTGTCACCAACTTAAAAAATGGCAGGCGATAGCACAGAGAAATGAAGTATTTCTATTGCTCAATTACAGTGTTTTTCCTTTCTACAGATGTTTTTTTATTCACTTGCAATGTGTCTTTGAACTTGCTAAAAAACTTGACTACTATAGGAAAGTCACTTCCTACGATGCATATCATAGCCCTCTCCCATTCTGTGGGTATTGACTTATTGTTTATGCTGGCAGCTCTTCTTCACCTACCTCTGTAACTTTTTATGTAGCTGCCGGGAAAAGAGCGAAGGAAAATATTATAGAGTGTTAAAAGGGTGACAAAACTGTGTCTGCTGGGGTTGCTGACATTGCATCCAAGATGCCGGTGCTTAGTAGCAGCTCAATGTTTTTGGATGTGGACACAAGAGGGTCTTTTACAGGTAAATAAAATACATTAAATGCTCATATAATCTTAGAAGATTTTTGTTGAAATTAATGGTCTGGTCATAAGGTCTCTTTAAAAACTAACTGCTAGCACTGACATTTGTTAACACTGCCAGATACAAGCATTTCTGTAGCACTTGTAGTTAAAATTTCATGTACATATACATTATACTTACCACAGTATCCTGGTGTTCCGCATACGGTCTTCATGGCTACCTGATCATGAATGATTTTTGACAGACCAAAGTCCGCTTTAGTGTGTAAAAGAAGGAGTAATGCACAGTATTAGTACAAAAACTAGAATCACTATAGAGCAGAAAATTAACATAGACTATCATGCATGTCCAGTTCTATTATTTCACAACAGCTGGAGAGACCATGAGTTACATATACTGATTTGTTGTTTTCTTCCAATCCCTCTATGTTTAAGGCAGCTGCATCTGTCCGCTGGCCACATGTAATTGTACATGGTACGATTTAAGTGCGGCTCAAGAGAGATGCTTGTAATGGGACATAAGCTCTTTGCATCTAGAGACAGGCATCTCTTCCAAGCCACAGGTAATCGTACCATGTACATTGGGCACAGCGGCAACATCTGAACAGGGACACCTGGGACTCTTGGCTCAAGGATCTGTAGGTTCTTGCCGCAGGAATCCTTGAACGCACATAAATACTCAGTTTGCATAGGGCCTAAATATTAGAAAATATGCAGTATTCTTACTTATTTAAATAATAGCAGTTTAAAGCTGCCATGTCTGATAGGATAGTGGAAGGCAATGCTTTCGCACTTGCTGATAATGACAAAGCTTGCCTGCCCCTTACTACTTTCTGTATGACAGCTCACCATAGGGATGGGCGCAACCCAGGATTTGGCCAGTAGGGTACTGGCAACGGCTAAAGATACTTCTAGGTGTAGGCACTTTTATATATGCAGCAGTTTTATTTTTTAATGTATCTTTAAAGTTTACAAACAATGAAAAAACTAAAATACTGGGGCATGTACTGGTGACAGTATTGAAGGAAAAACAATAAGGTTTTAGGACCTAGCTGGCCACCCACAGTTTAAAGGAGAATTATTGGGAGAGTAAAATGTACACCCTTCACAATAATTTGAGCCAGCATGCTGTCACATGCCGGCTCTATAGCTCAAGAAGTGAGCGATCACAACACACTAAACGTTTAGCTCACTGTCATCTCCATGCAGAGAGTGGTGACTGTCAGTCACCGCTCCTCGCAAGGATTCTCCCCTCTCTATTCCTTCAGCACTGATTGGAGAGACAGACAGAGGAGGAGGTGTGCACAGCTGTCTCTGGCTGTAGAGAGGCAGAGCCAGCTTTCATTCAGGCAGCAGGGTGGATGCCGACAATATTATCAGGATCTTTCCCAGCTGCAAAGCAGGTCTGCACTGTAAGCATAAAGCAAGCAGTAGCCAGCTATATGCTGACTTTGGGTCACAGGACTCCATTAGTAAATATACTTCTGCGACCCAAAAGAGGACTAAAGCCAAAAAAAAAAGGTTTGGCCATAGCTCCTTTTTAATGAGTGAGTCAGTGCTGCTGACTTTTAGAAGACCTATGTGTATGCCTTTTAATTTTTGAAGAAAATCCCTTATTTATATACTGCAATTATGTAATGGAGCAATGTTAGACATGGCAAGGATGAAAAGTTCAGATGATGTCAAATATATTGATGCATATACGCACTGATGTATTAAATGTTCGGCATGCTTATTGTGTTCAGCAGTGGGTACATTACCTATTTTAAGAAGGGAATCAGGGGACATGTCAGCATAGAGAAGATTTTCTGGTTTTAGGTCACGGTGAACTACTCCATTTCCATGTAAATACTGTAAATGCAAGAAAGTACCATCAATTAACATATGCAAATATTGCCAGTAATTGGTAAACAATTTATATACAGTTGGATACACTAAGCACTGATCTTCAGAACCGTCTACTCCAATGGTTCATTATGTGCTTGTACTGATTGTTACCAATTTTTAGGCTCATATACTCTTGTGTCGGTATCAGTGTAAACTCACTCATTATCATTCTTTTTTGAAAAGTGACTCCATATAGCTGTAATATATGCTAATTTATATCCAATCTACCACTAACTATTGCTTCTGAAACTAGGAAATTAATTGGCACAATGCCATATTCATTAAATGATGACTAGCCTAATGCATATTCATCAAGTACACAACTCTTGCACATTTTGTGCTTTCATTAACACCGATTATGCATGAAATATATTCTGTTCTGAGAGGCACAGGAGAAAACTTTCAACTGACTCTTTTTTTTTTTTGGTCCGTGATGCGTGCATCGAAGAACAAACTTCACCCCTGTGAACAAAAAAAGTTAATCGTGACATCACAACACACTGAAAAAAAGTGCATGAGGGTGTTTTTGGACCTCCTCCAAAGAGGAAGGGCCACAATTTCCTGACCCCCTGGGGCGCAAGGCTCCTGAAAAGGGTTAGGATAATTTTGGTCCACCTACCCGAAGGCCGGCAGACCCTGACCCTCTGGGACCTGCCAAAACAGGTCCCACAAGTACTAGGTTGGGGGGCTCTCCTAAAGAGAGACCCCCCCAGGTGGGAGGAGACGGGGGGCCCCCATGAGGGTCACAGAATCTCCTCCCCATCAGGAAAGGGCCCCGAAGGTACCCACACCCTCTGTCTTCTGTGGGTCAAATCCAATCAAAAAATGTTGGGGTCCCACACCCAATGTGATTCTCTGGCACCCTGTCACAGTTCAGCTGCAGACTTGCAGCTGAGCTGTTACTTGTAGTTCTACAAGTATATACATACCTCTTACACTTGGTTCTGCAGACATGCAGGGCTGTGCTGGTGCTTGTAGTCCTCCATGCGTGTGCTCTGAACCTGACTCACACTTGCACCAGTCTGGCACCTTTAGGCGCCGGCCGACCTCTCCTGCTGTTTCTTATACAGCTACTCGACCAATCATTGCAGTCCGCGTGTAGCCAATCTTGTGCATCCTCCCTCTTCCTGTCTCTATTTAAACTCGGCAGCGAACGGCACGCTGCTCGAGCAACGCTTTCCCAAGCTAGTTGCCGAGTCCCCCATTTGCGATTGAACCTGAATTCCTGGAAGTTTGCTCTGTACCGAACCTTTGGCTTATCCTTGGAAATCCCTGTCTACAGTCTGCCCTGTGCTTTGCTTTGTCCTTGGAAATCCCTATCTACAGTCTACCCTGTGCTTCGCTTTGTCCTTGGATATCCCTGTCTACAGTCTGCCCTGTGCTTTGCTTTGTCCTTGGATATCCCTGTCTACAGTCTGCCCTGTGCTTCGCTTTGTCCCTGGAAGTCTTAGTCTTCAGCCTGTCCCTAACCTTTGTTTCATACCTGGTATCTGTTAGGTGAGTTGGGTGGACCTAGGGATTGTGACCTGGGGTCAGCACGCAGCCAAGCCCATCTCCACCATCAGGAGCTCTGGCGAATACCGGCTGGACCATTATATTCCACATCCTGGGGGACCCCATGCCACCTACTCAGCATAGCAGCACCGTGCCTTGTATTTGAACTTCCAGCTTTAGCTGTCTCCCACTGCCTCATTCAGTTCCCTGGCTTGTACTCCAGCTCTGGGACTCGTCAGCCTACACTGCTTGGACCCTTTTCTCTAAGTGTCCCTGCCAGTGTAGTAGAAAGGGTCCACATACCTTACTCCAGCTCATACCCGTGACACACCCCTGGGATGCCACCCCCAGGTGGCACAGCACCACGGCCCTCTGCTGCCCCTGAAACCCTCCGGCCAGACCAAGCAAGCACCCGTCCACATCAGGAGGCCGTATACCAAGGCTGTTCCCCCTCTCACAAAAAGCAGCCCGGCACAAACCTTCACTCCAGTGAGTACTAAGTAACCATCCCCCCGAAAGGACGGATACTACACTTGATCTTAGCCAAAAGGCCGAGAAGCGATGTTTCAACTGATTCTTGCTAAAGTAAACCTGTAAAGAAAGAAATATGCAAGCTGCCATCTTCTGCTTGGTTTTTCTGAAAGTGGAATTTTAGCTCCAGTACCAGAGGCAGCTCTAGACTTTGTGAGGTCTTAGGTGAAACTCAAATGTGAGGCCCCCACTCACACCCATAATTTAAAAAAGGCAAACGATAATTTAAAATGAGCTGTATAAAATGCATATTTTAACACTAGCATTTAATCCCAGCAGCTAGGAATCCACAGCTGCTAGAGCTAGAATTTTTTTTCTGTCTCTTATCTAATTCTACAAATAACTATACACAAAACCATAACACTAAGGAAGTAATGCACATAGTACAGAGGCCAGTAGTAAGAAATATACAGAGTGCAGTGGTCTGAAGGAAGTAACGCAGAGAGTGCAGAGATCAGAAGGAAGTAACGCACAAAATGCAGAGGTCTGAAGAAAGTAAGGCATTAAGTGCAGAGTACAGAAGGAAGTAACACAGTATGCTGGTGGTATATTGTTAATAGTTAATGTTAAATGTTAATAGTTATTGTGGTCAGAGTTACTTACGCTTCCGAAGTCTTCATGACCCCTACCGATACCAACCTGATGTGTGCCATGATTTTTGTGGTCAGCGTGCCAAATAAGGGGGCACGCTCTAGTGAATTGATAAAGCCTGGGGAAGGGCGGGAGGGTCAGACGCGAGCTCGCCGTGACGTGCAGAGGACCTCCCCGCCACCCCTTTTAAGGGGAGGAGAGCCGCCGCAACTCCTCCCACAAATACGGCCAAGATACCTTGGCCTATAATTTGTGGTCAGAGTTACTTACGCTTCCGAAGTCTTCATGAACCCTACTGATACCAACCTGATGTGTGCCAGGATTTTTGTGGTCAGCGTGCCAAATAAGGGGGCAAAAACAACGAGTAGAGTAAAGCCTTTGGACAGATCTTACCTCATCAGGCCAAGTGCTGGAAAACCAGTGAGTGCCAAAAATTGCCGCAAAGCCGACTGAGGCCGCGGCGTCCGAGAAGACCCGCGGAGAGGATGCGGTAGCCTGCGGAATAAACATGGAAATTCCATTCCACTGCCACAAAAACTCATCCCACATCAGCAAGTCAGCCCGACCGGCCGAGTCCACGTGGATTAGGGCATCTAGATCGGCGGCCGTCGGCAGCAGTGCCAACAACCTGGAAATAAAGGACCGCCCCTGCGGAATGATCCTCATGGCAAAGTTCAACATTCCCAACACTGATTGCAATTGTCTTCTCGTACACTCCGGGGACACCAGCAGTCCATGCAACACCTCCCTGATTCTATCGAGTTTGTCCTGAGGCAGGCTAGCCTGCATGGACTCCGTATCTAACGTAATGCCCAGGAAAGTCATGACCTTTGCGGGACCCTCCACCTTTTTTGAAGCAACCGGTACATTGAGAACCCCAAAGATCTGTAACAACAACCCCAGATCTCGTGGAGCCATAAGCGGGGACTCGATAAGCAAAAAATCGTCCAAATAATGCAGTACCTTCTGGCAGTGGACATGGTGTTCCAAAATCCAATGTAGGGCCTGCGCAAAGGTATCGAATAGCCAAGGACTACTCTTAGACCCAAACGTCAATTTAGTAGCAAAATAATACAATCCCTTCCACCTGACACCGTGCCACTGCCATAATGACTGCATGATCGGAAGGAGTTTAAAAGCATCAGAAATATCCGCTTTAGATAACCATGCATTCTTACCCACCTGCAGTATATGCTGTATCGCTTGATCCACCGAAGCATACTTTAACGAAAACGTGCATGGAATGAGGAGCGGACAAATCGTAAATCAATCTATATTTATTGCTGAACTTTCCACACACTAATCCAATCGGGCTAACTCGCCACATGTCAAAAGGTGGTGCAACAAATGGTCCAATGAGAAAACCCTTGGCTAGCTCAACACCCAGCAGTGAATCCACCCTGTCAGGATCAGCCAGGGCAGATTGCAAGTTCCCACACTCATGCGAGGACTGCGGTAAAGTAACAAAACCCGTGTGAAAACCTACAGAAAATCCCTCGGCCAGAAAAAATGCCAGATTCGGATCCGGATGCCCCATCAGGTAACCAGATAACGCCTCCACGTTGACCACGCCTAGTCAGAGGGGCTGCCCCGACCTGATGGTACAGGCGACTCTAGGGTGGGCCCTAAAACAAATTGAGCAAACGTGAAGCAACCTGCAGTGTGGATAATTGCACGTCTTATAGTTATAATTATTACAAATTTGCGACTTGCCCAAACACTGTATAGACCTACCAAACTTGTCAACTTGAGCCGAAGTAGAGCCAGATGGGCCGGGCACCGCCTGCGCAGGGGAAACCGCAGAAAAAGACCCCGTGGTACCCGGGACAGGACACCAGTTAGCGGTCCGTGGTACCCGGGACAGGACACCAGTTAGCGGTGTGCGCCGATGACTGGCACAAAGCGCAGACGGGGGACTTGAGCCCAGCGAAATGTCTGCAAAACAGTTCCGTGTCCACTCGACTCCAATTTGTTACAAACTGGAATTGAGACAACGCGGCCGCTGCCTTGGCGGAGACCGCCCGGTGGTAGTCATAAAAAGCAAAACCACCGTACTTGTACCCCAGATCCACTACTGCGTGCAGGTAGGAATCCAGCTCCTCCCTCCTGTTTGGGCTAACTGTACAAATGACATCTCGGAAAATGCAGAATGCCAACACAAACTCCGGGATCGACAGTTTCCTATTTAACCGGGGATCCCTCGCCTTTAACACTACCGACACCTCCCCGCACGAGTACGACTTATTGTCCGCTACGTCGTGGGCAGCTATCAATAATGACGCTAGGTTGACATCCTTGCCCTCCAAGATGTCTTTTTTAATGTGTGCCGGGACAAAATGTGCCGGTGT